CCAAAAATGTCTCCAGACATCCCTAAATGTCTGCTGGAGGGAGGCAAAATGGCCTGTGGTTGAGAACTGTGGACATTTACTGGTGGCCAGGAGATGGAAGGTCAGCTCTGCAGGGAAGTCGTGCATTGGAAGAAAGAACACCTCAGGCTCTGTGTGGTCCTGATCTTCCTCGCAGTGCCGACAGCTGAGAGCCCTTAAAAAAGGTGCCTGGGCAGAACATCTCCACCTTCTTTGGTAGCATTCGACCCTTCATTATATATTTCACACATGTGCCTCCCCCGCTGTTCTAATACAGCTTTGGGGGACAATAAGGGTTACCCACAAGCTGAGGTAATGTCTTTGCATCCAGTCATCAGGCAAAAAGCGCCACAGAGTCATCAGAGGTCCAGCTGGAGGTGCTGGCAGGAGCCGCACAGCAGAGCCCTGTAGGCCCCGGTAAAGGGGCTGGGTTTTATCAAAGTGCACCTGGAGTGATCTGTTGAATCTAACAGGTGAAAATGTAACTGAGATACATATAAACTTATTGTTGGATCCAGAATATCAATTGCACAAGGACAGGACAAAGGCATGTGGCTTCTTTCTTTACCCAGGTGTTTGTAACTGCTAGCTCTTTCATCCCTGCAGGAGGTGGCAATGCATCCTCAGGAAATTCCACAAGTAGAAACGAAACAATAGCAAATTCATGGGGACCAGAACAAAGTGTACGGTAGGCAGTGCAGAGGGCTGCCTCCTCGGACTAGAATTCCTGCCTATGGGAGTTATTCCCCAGGGAATTCCACCTTGCTTCTTATCTTAGTCAGCTGGGGCTGCTGTAACCAATACCACGGACTGGGTGGCTTAAACAACAGGCATTTATTTCTCATAGTTCCAGAGTCTGGAAGTCTGAGATCAGGGTGCTGGCATGGTCAGGTTCTAGTGAGAGCTCCCTTCGGGCTTGCAAATGCCACCTTCTCAGGTATGTCTCCTCCTGAGGGCATTCGTTCCAGCATGAGGGCCTCCTCGTCACCTCAGCTAACCTACATTACCTGCTCAGGCCCCACCTCCTAATACAATCACATTGGGGATTAGGATGTCGTATGAATGGGAGGGTGTGTGTGGACATCAGCATTGAGACCACACACTTATGCCCTCTGATATTTGGAATTCCACCACTGGGTGCGTAGCCATTTGATTAAACACCATCTTCCTATAGCCCCAAAGTGCTTGGAAGGGAACATTACTTTCCCAGTGCCTTAGTTTATCATCACTTTCTCCCAAAATAGGAATGATGGGAGGTAGTCGTTCTGAAACGGAGGTCTCAAGAAGAGGAAAATGCCACCTGCCTCGCATTTGCATCCCGGGTCGCAGCTGCATGTTGCTGCATGCTGCATATGGGCCAGCTGTGCATTGTTGCAGCTGTGGCAAAATGGAAATGAGGGAAGTGAAGAGGTTTTTAGTGAAGAGCAGGCCTTCCAAGTCTCCCAGAGAAGTTCCAGAAATAACCACTAAGTGGCAGCAAGTGAACAGTTGTTCCTGAAACCCTCCAGAATCTTAACGGAATCTTAATATTCTGGCTCTGGACGAGGAGTGGTAGGTACAGTGTGAGCCCCCACCTCCACTCTACCAACATGTGTCTCCATAGGAAAGCATGGTCCTTCATGGCATGTGCCCCTTTGGGTACATTGTAGATAGTAAATCCGGTGCTTACTATATACTTCAGACTCCTCTCAGTGCTATGAAGGAGAGGGCACTCACAGCAGGGGCCCTGATCCTGCCACACAGAATCCCTGTGGCTCAGGCTTGTCTGAGTAGAGGTGACTGCAATGAAGGGAGTGATGGGGCAAATGGTTTGAGCAAAGAGCTAAGGCAGTGAGCAGCCAGGTCTCACGGAGCAGGGATGCCTGCTTTCTCTCGGGAGTACCTCCTTTGAGGAATCTTAGAAGGGCAAAAGGAGGTCATGGCCCCTTTCTCTGGGGCCACACAGTGAAAGGACATTCTTTGTCCAGGTCATGTAAGGTGTGTCAGACCTGGCAAGGTCCCCTCCACTGTAAGACTCCTCACTTGTGGAAATAAAGAATGTTGATTGTGATCACCACACAATGATCTATTTATTTCTGAAAGTTTCCTTCCCTGACTTCATTTCCAGGTGAGTGAACTCTTTCTTCTCAGTAAAACACAACCTCTTGGCTTGGTTTATTGGGGCTGATGTCAGGGCAAGAAGCGCTTCTCGTGGTTCAGAAAGCGGACGGACTGTGCAAAAGAAGAGCAGGGCCTGGGCCTGGACAGCCCTTTTCTGGCTGAGAGGGGACCAGGGATGTAGAGGAAAGAAGCGCTGGGGCCCCAGACTCAGGCCTTGGAGCGTGTAGTCCAGTGAGCACACGATCGGAAAGGGGGAAAGACCCGAGAAAGGAGGCTGAACATGTCAAAAACGAACTTAGCCTTCCTTGGAGAACCTAAGGAATCTCAGGTGTCTCATGTTTCTGATCTGACATGTTTCAGGTGATCACAGATCTAATCTAACACTGCCTTCCCCAGACAGGCCAGCATTTCGGATCATGTGTGTTCCTACCCCCTGCAGAGGTGTGTGGACTGGTAAAGGTGCAAGATTGGCCCTTCATCAGTAAGAAGGGGACTTACTCTCTTGTTTAATAAGGAATCGTTATAGGTAAAGCCTTTCAAGAAAGCCAGATGGGGATGAAAAATGTGCCGTGTGCGGAAACAGTATGGAGGCACTGGTGCCACTAGAGGGAGCCATTGCAGAGCGTGGTGGGAGCTGGCTTCCAGGGACCCTCTTGCCTCCAGGTCAACAGGGTGAACCTCTTGGCCAGACTGTGGCCATGACCCGTGGCAGGGTACGTGGCAGGGTATGGGAATTTCTCCTCAAAAGTGCTCTTATAGTCTTTATTCCTTTTGGACATTATCTCCTCAGAAGAGATCGGAGTGTGCACGGCTGCCTGTGACCCGTGGCCCAAGGCGTATTTTCCTGGACAGGTCACCTCGTTACTTGTACAAAATTACCTTTTGAATCTTCAGTAGTAGTCTTCATTCCTCTACTGTCTCCAAAAAAAGCTCCTGGTTGCTTTCAAATGCTTTTGCATTAACAGAGCCTTGGACAAGGGTGCAAGCTAGTTCCACCCCAAGGCAGGCTGTCAGGGAGAGGCCTGGATTTGTCCTGAATCTGGGTGGGGGCTGGGAGAGTGGCTAAACCTGCTCTCAGTAACCACTGGAGTACATGCTTTTCGTCATGCGTCTTTGCGCCTGACACTGGCTCAGAGGTGGGTGCCAGGTCCACCCCTCACCACCACAGGGGTCTGGGTGGGGGTGATTTGGGTGCACCTTCTCCCAAGCCTGAAAACGACACCTCACAAAATGACCGTGCTTCTGCAGTTGTGGTTCCAGGGCCTTGGCTTTGCCCAGGTCTCTCTAAGTCTTTGTTTTACTTCGGAAAGAATTCTGGTCATAAGCAGCATTAAGAGAAAAACAGCCTCTTCAATGCTTTTCTCTACTAAACGTTTTGTATCGGACCTGCAAGATGGACAGCTGCCACCACCTCCATCTTCCTTGTCCGACCCTGCCCGCCTGTGCTTGTGCCACCTCCTCCCCACTAGACCAGAAGCCTCTTAGGGTAGGAACAGTGTCCCATCACTACTGCAGCAGCGATGATGACGACAACCATCCTAACTGACCTTTATTGAGTGTTTGGTATGTGTCAGGCTGTCTTAGAAATTTCGCGTTTATCTCCTTTAATTCTCTCAGCAGTCCTGAGGTAGGTTCCATTATTCTCCGCTAACTGATGAGAAGACCCAGACAAGCTCAATGTAATGCCACCAGCAGGCAGAACTGATTATAGACTGTTGAGTGAATCCGAGACGCCCTCATGGTTTATTTTTAAGAGTCTTTTTCAGATATAATAGCTGGTTAGTTGACTGATGAGCTTAAATGATAATATAGTGAGAGTATGTTAATAGTATTTTTAAAAAGATCCTATTTATTTATTTATTTTAGAGAAAAGGGAAGGGAGGAAGAGAGGGAGAGAAACATCAATGTGGTCGCCTCTCGCACACCCCCTACTGGGGACCTGGCCAGCAACCCAGGCATGTGCCCTGACTGGGAATCAAACAAGCGACCTTTGACCCTTTGGTTCGCAGGCCAGCATTCAATGCACTAAGCCATACCAGCCAGTGCTGCTAATAGTGTTTTAACAAAATCTAAAAATCCAGCAACTCATCCTATCTGATATTGCCCACTTGAGCTGCTGAAGGAACTGAAGTGCCTTTTAGTTAAGTGTTGTCATCGGCAGCTGATTGTGTTCCTCCAGTTATGATGGTCTCCCCTCCAGCTTCTTGAGGAGCAGGCAGCAGGCTGCTGGGTCTCTGGCAGGGGCCGTGTTGAGTTTCCCTCACCTGGTGAAACCATTCTTTCCTTCATTACATGAGTTGAAATTGACCATCACCTGTATGTCCTGCCAGAGCTCAGGGAAGTCTGAAGTTCCACTAAAGTGTGAGCCACAATCTACTCTTTACCAAGGAGTCTCAGCTGTCCATAAACAGGAGCAAATTTACTGGCATGAATTAGCTGGCTATTATGTCTACTTTAACATAATGCAGCTGTTGAGTCCATCATGGGACATGATTGAAATGTGGGTACCTTTTATACCTAAAGTTATAAGATAACTTTCCTGAGAACTACCTAAAACGTGTGATTATGATTACTACTGTGAGTAGAGACGGGATAAAATATTTCTGGCGAGGGCCTGCCAGCTCAGCAAGCCCGAAGGTTGCAAACACGAGCACTGGGCACTACAGTAATAAGAAAATCTGCACTTTACATGAAACCACCAAGTTCAATATTTCAGAGGCAAAAAAATAATAAGTGGGTTCCTGAGATTGTTCTTGCAGTCAATTCATAATCTTGGTATTATTTTCACTTTTATCTCTATTTTTAAAAGGAAAAGTGTAATGTTAGCATATTTCCCTCTAGACCAAATAGTACTTTTTAAAATTGAGAACACACACAAAAAATCCTAGTGATAAAGACATTTTATTTCTGCTTTACTTCAACTAGAATTCAAACAGGAAAGAGAAGGTAGGAAGAGCCCCCCTGTGAAATGAAGGGGTGAACTCTGTGCCCAGGTTTGCTTTCTGCCAGCCACACCCTTGATGAGCCGGAGAGGAGAGAAGAGAGTCAGCAGGTTACATTGGAAGGCACCGCACTTGCACTGAGAACTCATCATGAGCCGCCCCAGAATTTTCAGAGTAGAGCTTTCAGAATACCCGTTTGTGGCTGGTTACATGTTTACAATGCCCTCGAAGCCCAAACCATTTAAGTTGGCTATTATTCTGTTTTGTTTTTTGATTAGGAAGTAGCTACAGTGACAAGGTACAAAAAATAATAAGCATGCAGCCCTTTATTTAGTTTTCCAAAGTCTCTGCTTATAGTTCTGTATATTACATGACTGTGTTATACAAATACAGTTATTTACAAAAACACTCTAGCTGTGCAAACTTGTTGCTCTTTAAAAAGGTATGGATAGTTCCATTTCTGCCCATCCCAATATATATTTTTAAAGCATGCATAAAAACTAACTTTGGTGTGGGAAAACTACTCTCTGTGCTGTCACATACAGTATTTTTATGTTTATTTATATATTTACAAAATTTTATCAGTTTACAGAACAGTACAGAAGTGTACACTTTAAAATCCACAATGTTAGACGGTGTGAGTCGCCAGGTCTGAGAAAACAAAGGAAGGGGTGACGTACTGCAAAGAAAACAACTAGAGAATCCCAATAGATTTTAAAAAAAAAATAGAAAGCAATGCAAAGAAAACTAGCTTGTTTGGGTTGGCAAATTATTATGCATAATTTTCATGGCAGTGCAATTGTTTCGATAAATTGCTTTCTATATGTGCCCCTGGGTTGGCTGGCGCAGAAGTTCATTGGCTTATTGTCTAGCATACTACTTTCAAATGTACAATGCTATAGTATCAAAATGTTTTGGCAAAAAAGATCTTGAAAGGAACCATGAAGTTTTGACAAAAATAGAAATCTGTAATAAAGCTAAATAACACTAAAATAAAAGGAAATATTATAGTATCTGTTTTACAATTTGTATAGTCACACTTGTGTATTTCTCTGTTCATTTCTAGTCTCCATAATGAAAAATATTTTTATATAAAACATACTAAAATTTTGGAATCATACATGTTTTACATGCCGAATACACTTTCTCCTGTCTCACACGCACCCTTCGCTCTCGCCACACTTGCTTTCTGTAACACATGCTCACTTCATTTAACAGGTATTGAATATAGACGGTGAACACTGTGGAATTACAACAGCAACAAAGTAAAAAACAAAACAAGCTTTACTGAAATCTATTACTCCAATATTTAGCACATACTTAGCATTAAGCCTCAAATAGTACAGCAATATGTTACATTCTCTGGTGAAAACAGTTGTTAAGGACTATTAAAATTTTTTTTGAATTTTTAAATGCAACTTCAACTTGTGCCTAATAGGATTTGGCCTTTAAGAGGTTTCCTTTGCTGTGGATGGGGTGGCTTTGCTTGAACTTCCATTCTGTGCCTTGTAGCTGGTGAGGCTAGGAGTGTGGATGGTCCTGATGCTCTTGGCACCTTGATTCAGTGAAGTGGGGGAGGCGGGGGAGGGGGGGGAAGAGGAGCAGGAGGAAGGGGCTGCTCGGCCATTTGGAGTCTGCAGTGAGAATGAAAGATGGTGACCTTTACCTGTGTGAGTGGGGCTCTGAAACTTCAAGGAGCCATTAGAGACAGAGGGGATGAGGGAGGCAGAGGGAGCAGATCGTCCTGTTTGGGGGCTGAGAGGGTTAGAAGTAACCGATGGTTTAGAAGCAGTTGGATTAGGGGAGTTAGAGCTGTCACCACTAGCAGAGGGCAGAGAACTGCATTTCCCAGAGCTGGGAGAAAGGGCTGGAATCTTAGAAGCAGGTAAGGAGGGGAAAGTAGGCTTACAGTCCCCACCAGCTTTCTTAGCACTTCCATTAGCCTGCAAATAAAGATGGTGGGAGACAGTTTGTCAGAAAGCTGGTAACATGATCATTCCACAGGGTCTGGCAACACAGCCCTTCTGAGAATAATTAAATAAAAGACACCAAAACAAACCACATCAGTGCAAGGCCTGAACTAAGTCTCGTTGTGCTGTACTGGACCTGGTAGATACCCCCCAAAGTACAGAGCAAAGGATGTGCAGAACAGGAGAAAAGGAAGACCATTCCCGGTGCTCGGTCAGCCATGCGTCTGGGTTATTATTGGGGTGGGGGTGGGGCATGGTGACGGAGAGTTAATGTGCCTCTGATGCAGTGCAGTCGACATATATGTTAGTACGGGTGACTTCTAGGACAGTTCACCAACAGGTCTGTCTGGCTTGGTTTCTGATGAACCACTACATTCACCAAAGAAAAGCCAACTGGTGTGGCAGCTTGTGTTAATGGTTAAACTTTGGAGTCACACAGCAAAAGATGTTTTATTGCAAGCATGCAAAAGCGTGGTGAAAAGTTCAACAAAGATTTTTAGACTTTCTTCATGCCCCCAGATCCAGGAAGTCTACATAAGCCATAGCTTACAGAGAAAACACAATATTTGGTATAAACTAAGTCAGTGACTTGCTTCTTAACTGTAAGAGTGTCCATCCAAAATTGGGTTTAAGGTAAAACTACCTGACGATACTGGCGGGGATCCTGCAGTTTGGTCTGCTTGCCAGGTTTGTCCAGGCTTCCAGGTCTATTCTTGGAGCTCATGGGGACTGGCATCCTGCTGGTCTGTGGGGTCCCGCTGGAGGCCTGTGGGGAAGAACAGCAAAGGGGAAAGAGAAGCAGCACGTGAGTGCATTATTGGTGAGGCTGCCCCGCTATGTGCAGAGAAGCTCAACGTGAGAAGCCACAGCCCTCCATGCAGGACAGATCTAGGACATGGACATCAGAAGACACCACTGGGGTTAATTCCGAGAATCAAACAGAATAAACTGCTCCACTACCAATCAAACAGATTTTAATGTGAGTATCAGCAATCATTTCAATGGCAAATGGATGACCCAGCATCCTTGCGTTTACCCAACACCAATCAGCAACAGAGGCAAACAATCAATTAGCTGTTAGACACCTAGTTATTGTTGTTTTGAAGGTGAAGGAGACAGTGTGAGAGAAAGGTATCCAGGTGAACAGACAAAAAAATGAGCCACCTGAAAGGAAGCAAGTAAATCACAAGACACCTTTTGCTAATGGTGATTATGGCAGATTTAAGAAAGCAGCTGGGTCTTTTCATTTTCCGCCAGACCAAGGTACCTTACGTGAAGCTGAAGGTATTGATGAGGGGAGCTCTAGGGCAGTGGGAGCTTCTTCCAGAACTAGCAAGGATCGGGGAGAGGCCTCCCGGGCTATGTGGGTTGAGCTTGCAACAGAATCTCTGTTGGAAGAACATGAGGTATCAACTAGGGCTTTTGGACTCATTTCACTGATCGTATTTTCAAGCTGTTTGATGGTCTGCTCCAGGCTGTCCAGTGTTCTGTAGGTATTTTTCCTAATCTCATCAGTTCTTGAAATGGGAGATGTGCTGTCTAGACTGGGCTGCTCTTGTCTCTTGAGCCTATTTTGGGGAGAGTCCTCAGGTTGAGAAGACCTAGTAATTTCGAATCGCTTAGCTTCTTTGTGTTGTTTCAAAGTGCCATCCTCTTCCTCCTCTTCATAGACGACCACCTGCAAAGTCTTCTTCCCCGTTTTGGTTCCCGTGCGAATGGCTTGAGTGAGAGCAGCAAGCTGCTTTTTAGGGAATTTGAACTTAAACTTTTTCTTGGGGCTTTCAAATTGGTCATATGTCACGTCACACTTGCTGTCTGAACTTGGAGAATCTGCCTGGCTGCACGTAGGCAGATCGGTCTCATTCATCTCCTGTCCTCCCGATACTTTGGTGCCTTCTAAGAGGAGGTGTGGCCGCAGTCGACTCTCGGCCTTCAGTCCTGATCCGGGGCTGCCTGACACAACCTTGTGAGACTTTTGGGAGGTGTTATTCTGGACCAAAGCATCTCCATTTTCTTCCTCTTCCTCCTCCTCTATCTTTTCCTCTGTCATCATTTTCTCTAATTCCTCATCACATTCCTCAAATATGGTTGAAAGTCTCTTATATGCAGACCGGATATCCATGGGTTCGTCAAAAATGATGATGACTGGTTTCTTATCTAGGCAGACAACCGGCGCTTCGTGTTCATTCCCTTCTTGTTGGGAAGTCGTCTCTTTTTTGGCATCAATATTCACTGTCTGCACATCTTCTCCCTTTTTGCTTACTATATCGTGGACCTCCCCACTGGAAAGAACCTGGACCGCAGTCCTGGTGATCATGAAGGCAATGTTGTCTGTGGGTGCACTTTCTTCACTGGGAGCACTTAGGGTTGATTCTCTGTCCTCATTAGACTTCACATTAGCATGCCAAGCTCCCTTGTGTCTCAGCACAACTTGGCCACACTCTGTCACAGGAACCCGTTGATCTTGAGTTTTGGTATCACAAGTACCTAATTCAGTTGATCTAGTGGGAGAGAGCAGGTGACACTTCTCTGTGTTTTCTTGATCTTGTTGACTCATCTCTTTTGTCTTCACGTAATTCATCTTCTCACTCTCAGTGTCAGAGGTAGGGTCCTGCAGTCCTGAGATTTTAGGCCCTTTGCTTATTTCATCTTCTAGTGAACTAATGCCAGGGAAACTAGAACTGGTCTTAGACACATTTTTCTGGGAATAGTTTCTGCTGTCTCTAAGTAAACTCTTATTGGATATGGGATTTTCCATCATTAAGATGTCAGTTTGACATTCCGATGTTCTTGAGGCATCAGAAATACTATTCTCCATTCCTCCTTCCCACATAGGATGGCCACCAGGTGTAAGAACTCCTGCGATAGGCTGACAGGGAGGGTGGAGGAAGGAAACCACACACATTAATCAGAAATGGATCTGCAAAGGAAGGTCGTTAATCTGCATGGTATCAGTTGGAACACAGATCTGGGGAACTCACCTTTCGGGATTCCATTTGGGGGTCATTTTCATATTCAACCTCAGATTTCTGTATGTCTTCATGGGAAAATTCCAAGTTCTGGTAGAATAGTGTAGGACATGTTACTCCACAAAACCACATCCCCCCAAAGTGGACTATAACTAAATTGTTCCTTCAATTACACTTCCAAAACATGCGGGCCAAGCACATTTGTTACACACCAGTCCAAAGCCTATAGCTCTGTTTACCTTGGGCTGTTTTGTTCGCCAACTTCCAAAAATGCCCTGTGTTTGCATGAAAACCTCAATTGAAAGATGAAAATCTCGATTAGCAAAATACTTCAAGAATTTCAAATTTGGTGGGGGAGCAGTTAAGAGAACAAAGGGAGTGATTTTGCATGAACATGTCCTCTTTTCACACCTGAGAGTGAGCTAAGCAGAAGCTAAAACCAGAATGGTATGGCACCGCAGAAAGCACCAAACATCAGCAGGCAGAAGGCTCTGATTCTAGTCCAGGTCTGCCCCTTAACGGTGCTGCTTGAGGCACGTCACTCCACTTCTCAGGGCCTCTGCTTTCTTGCTTATAAACTGATACACTAGACCAGGAGATTTTTCATGTCCCTACCAGCTAGTTATTGCAGTCTTATCAGTTTTGTTTATGAAAAGTGTCCTACAAAGACATCTGCATTGGTTGGGTGTGGTACTTTGAGATGACAAAAAAACATTTTTTTTTCAGTCTTTTTCAAATAACAGATTGAAATGTACTCGCAGTTTGCACTTGCACTTGCCAAGGAAAGTGTCAAAATAGCCTTCAAACTAATCATACCAAGAAGATCAAATCCAAATTCAGTGTCATAATGCTGCTAGATATCCACCTAAACATTTAGAAAACAGATATTTGATGCAAATGTGGTGACCAGAACATCAGATTTTATTCTCTGTATTCTCTGATTCAGAGCAAAGACATACTTCTGAGGCTTATACCAAGATCCAGAACATCAGAGCCGAGCCGGGAGGACCAGCAGTGGAGAGTGCTCCCCGGGAGGCACGGCCCCCTGCCCCCGCCCGCCGGGCTGTGTCAGTGCTGGGGGGCCATCACAATGCCACTAACACTAGCCAAGCCCCGCTAGTCCAGGGCACTGCTGTCCTTTCTTCTTGCTGCAGAAGCCCAAGAGGTGGTTTTAGCAGGACGGGATACAATCCCAAGAAGGCAGTTTGGTTCACAGCAATGACCAAAACAAAGCACAATAACGCAGGCCCTGCCCGAGTCAACCCAGAGCAATCCTACCGCCCTGGTTAAAAATGTAAAGAATGTTCATACACATTTAAGGAAAAACACACAAACAACAAAGCCACCATTAATCACACAAAAGATGGCAGAAGATAGGAGGTGCATTAGCTAGCCAGCATCGCCAGTTTAATGTCCCCTCACCTCCATGAGGCCCCCAAATGAGTGCAATGAGTCAGCTGCTGCAGTCGAACAACACAGCATCTTCTGTGGGATTTTAAATTCAGATGATCAAACAACTAACACACAAAGTAAAAAGTTTTGAGAAGAAAAATACGTGAGGTTTGGCCCTAAAGTTTCCACTCCAGCTATGGAGTCAGCATGTTAGGGCCTGAGTGGAAATGAACCCTCCAGGCAGGGAAGGAGCTGGCATGTAACCCAGTGGCAATGCCAGCACAGTGGATGTCCTGCTGGCCCGTGAGCCTGGGGGACAGGGTGGCCTGGCATCTGCTCCAACTGCTCACGACCCATGTCATACCCATCGTTAGACATTTGCAATGCCGCCATGGGAGACATGTATTTTAAAACAGATCTAGTAGCAGGAATAATACTGCCATGGAAAGTCACTAAGAGAAAAATGTCAGGTGTAGGTTTCCCATGACCTACCACTGTTATCACTGGGCTAGAGAAAAGAATGGATGTATCAGAGCAAGTGCATTAACTTTATTCAGAATAACTTGGTCACAACTGTCAAATAATCTACCAATGACACCTTAGATAGTCAAGACTGCATGAAAGGTAATTAATTTTCATTAATATCTATTTATGGGTCCTGAGATTTGGATTGTTCAGACAACTGGTGAAGCAGGCTCAATATGCATACAGGCAATAAACCAAAATCAGAGAAAAGAGACACAATTATAGGGAAAGTGCATAAAAGTCAAGTACTAGGCTAATGCTTCCTGAAGACAAGAGAAACATTTTAACAAAACATTTGAGTTATAGAAAAGTAGATGAATAGCTGAGGAAGAGGTTAAATAATGACAACAGTTTGCAAACAAGTCTGATACTCATGTTGTATATAATGCTCATAACAAGTCTGATACTGATGTTAGGAAGTAGATCAGCCTACTGAGTATAATTATCCAGAATAAGCACCTGTGATTAAACCCAGTTTGGGGCACTCAGTACACACCTGCTTATTATTATTTGATGGACCTTCGATGAAGTTAAAGAGATCGATGGGATAAGGATTTGTAATCACTGGGCAAAAATCTCGTGCAACTTTCTAGCCAATTAGCAAAATTCTACAGTTATTGTCTCCAGAGGAATCTTCAAGAAGCTCCCAGATCCCAGTGCTTTAGACAACGGTCATGTTGGCCCGAATATGCCATGCCATTCAAACCTGCTGGGGCCTTCTGTGATCTGCTTTTAATGAGGCCACAGAAGGAAATTCCAGAGACTGAAAAGGCCATATATTTCCAATGTGATCTCATGGATTCTATTAATAGGGGATTTTCTTCATGAGAAATATTTATCGATAATAATATCATAATCTCCCACAGTGCACAGAGGGATCTCATGTCGCCTGGTTAAGGGCTGCACGTGTCAGTCATGTGGCAGCCACCTTTCACACAGGGCTCTGTGGTGGCTGTGAGCCAGGGAGGCGCAGGCCAGCCTCATCCACACAGCCTCCCGCCGGGAGCCGGGAGCCGGGAGCCCCGGGACTGCATCTTTAGAAGGGCTGTGTTAGGACGACTGCAGATCGTGTTCGGCTCCCTCACTGAACTTACTTCTACATGGACTGAGGTACCCTTTTGGAGTAGCAATTGGGCTAGCAGATATGTTTGACTTTATTTAAGGGAAGCTAGAACCTCTGAATTCTGAAATAAATATAAGTTCTGGTGAAAAAAGTCAGGGCTTGAGATGGTCATGATAAGCTTTCTATCCTGAAATTGAGAGAGGTTTCATTCAAATCAGATGGCTCTATATCCCCAAACCATGAAAGCTCTAGGTCTAACTTAATGTTGAGGTTTAAACATTCAAGCTCACGTCCTTTGCCTAAAATACTTTGGTAATGACAATGAACTTTGTCCTGGAGCCTGAATATCTGTTTTGAGGCCACTTGAATGCCACAAAGTGTATTAGCACTAAAACTATACTGAACATACTCTTTTGCAAGGTGCACTTTGAGATTTGTAATACTTAAGGAAATTCTGTTTGGCATTTTAAAATGTATACAAATTCATATGTGCATGTTTCCATGAGGATCCAGCTGTGGTGGCAGCAGGTATGCAGCTCTGCCCTGAGTATTTTTCCTGGAATCTAAGGCTTTCATCTATTTTTCATGTAGATGTTTTTGGTCCAGGAGACATAGAAAAAGTCCTTCCCTCCTTCCCTCCTTCCCTCCTTCCCTCCTTCCCTCCTTCCTTCCTTCCTTCCTTCCTTCCTTCCTTCCTTCCTTCCTTCCTTTTTCTTTCTCTCAAAGAGTCATTCTAGAAAATTTTGAAAGACATATATTCTTTAGTTTGGGGAGATAATGGCTCAGTTATGCACATGCTAGTGTACCTTGTGCGCAAGGAACAACATGTCTGCTCTGAAAACCTCAGACAGTCATCTCTGAACTAAACCCAAAACTGTGTCTCCTTTAGTTTTTTCTGTCTGTCTGTCTGTTTGTTTGTTTAAGGTGAGAGAAAAAAGAGAGGGCACCGAAGAACAAGCGCAGGAGCAGTGTTAGCGTCAGAGCAAGGAAAGAAGGGCTGTCCGACCGCGTGGCAAACGTGTGATTGCCACGTTACCTTCTTCTCCTTGGGTGAGACTGTGGCCCCCGGCCTACTGTCTTTAACGTGACTGTCAGCCCTGGATGGCTCAGCATGACTGTTTGAATTTACATCCATAAAGGAACACTTCTGGAATGCCTAAGGAATTAAAATACTGAGGTTAATAAGATTCCAAGTGTAGGGAGGAGGAAGGAGGGCACAGGCAGGAAGTCAGCGCAGAGGTGTGGAGACCCCAGCTTGTCCCTGCATGCAGGTCACACCAGGGTCAGGGGAGCATTGCCTTGACAACCTGCTCCCCTCTTGGCCTCAGGCCTGCAGAGCTGGTGGGGGGAGGGGGGCGGAGCCGGGGCCAAGGTGGCCTGATTTCTGGGCTGCATCAGGATAAGAGGGCACAGCCCCTGAAAAGAGCTCCTTCTCTTCCTCTGTCCAGGGTGAACTTAGTTTGCATTTAATAGGGCTTCTTGTTCTGACCTTTTAAAAATAGTGATACATAAATGAATAAAAATTTGAATACATAAAAGGAGCTATCTTTTCTTTCTTCATTTTTTAACAAGACTCATTTTTTAAAATTAAGACTATAAACAAAAAGGGCACACAATATTATAAACCTTTAAACTTTAACAGTTATCCTTATCAATTCATTGTCTGAAATGGTAACAGGTAGTCTGTGCTCTGAGGTGTTCGGAGGCTCATTTAGAATAAAGTGATGCTCTTCAGCACTCTGAGTGGCCTCGGAGCTGCCAGAGCCCTAGACTTGTCTCTGAAAGCTGTCCTAGTTACAGGAGCCTGCACCGACTCATGTGGACACTGAGTCAGGAAGGCCAGTCTCAGGCAGAGAGAAAGCACAGGCTGTGTCTACAGGGCAGAAAGGCAGTGACAGTATGACAGTGAGAGCAGGAGAGACAAAAAACTAAGAACCCAAGTTTCTTGAAATCAGAGGTTTTTAACATATCCTGGTTTTAAAAAATACTATTATCCAGGGCTCACCCAAAGAATAATTAAGTCAGAATCTTAGGGATGTAGGACTTTAAAAAAAACTCTCTATGTAATTCTAATGTGCAACCAGGATTAAAAAACACCTATTCAAATGAATCATCTCAAGTAATTCTTTCATGTTTCCTTAGTGTCAAATGTTGCCATTTGGAAATAACCCCAGGCAGAAAGAAGAACCCTTGCCTTCTCCAAGTGAACACTTCAGCACTGGTCATAAAATAAGAACAGAGCTGGTGCCTGGGACTCTCCCCAGCCTGCCTTTCCACGCTCTGCTGACTGAGTCCCTGTTCCCACCACACCAGCCTCCTCACTGGCCCTGGAGATGCCGGGGCCCCACTCATTAAGACCACTCACCACTGGGGGACCCTGGACTTCAGAGCCTGTGGTTTCTAATAATGCCTGTTGGCATGGAGCAGGAATGCTGTCCTGCGAGCATAATTAGGGGGCTTCAGCTGCTCCATGTCCTGCCTGGGGATTGCAGGGCGAAGGCTGTCGAACTAGAACCATTGTCCAACTTTCTGATGCAGCAGGTTTGGTCCCTACTCTAGCAGGATGGTCAACGGGGTTCAGTTAAGTTAGGGTTAGAGTACTTCATTCACCACCATTACCTAACCACCAATAATAAAGCAAGAAGCCAGATACTTTGCTTTTGTAAAGTTCTCAGTTAAACTTTTAAGTTGCAGCTAAAAGCATCAAAGATGCTCAGACTTCAATGGAAGGCAACGTTCTCAAGGGTGGGCTATAAGTGGCTGGCACAAATAAGTCACTTTTCTTAGGAGGATTATTCATAAGCCTAAAAGTCTCTATTTCTTTATTAGTAGTTGTTCACCTTGCACAGATTTAAAATGATCTAGTGCTCTGTCAGCCAACTGAACCAAACTGGGCCATGATCGATTCACACCCTAAATTTAGGGACAGATGCTACAATGAATGGCCCCAGAATCTGTATACACATCTTAGGACATGCCAATCCCCAGCAACAAGTAGCCTTGACATGCCAGTGTCAACAGCCGGAGGGCCCTCTCTGGATAAATGAGTGATGGATGCTTCCATGCTCTCAACTGCCCCATGAGTTGCTGACTTTATAAATCTATGATTCCTATGAATGCAATTCTCCAGCCATGCAAGAACCCTATAAATAGTCTGACTGGTGGAGGGGAGCCCTGTCCAGTCTGTGAGGTTTAGAGAGGTTCAAAAGGCTTGTGCATGTGACCGTTGACCAGCTGCTCTGTGTTTCCTGGAAAATCCAAGCAGCTCCTCTTTAGCAGGGGTTACCATGGAAAGCACAGTAGGATGGCAGCAGTGGAAATGACAGGGTTTCAAAGTTCTCCCAGTTACAAATGAAGCATGCAGATCCTTGAGCCTGCACAAAAGTGTGGGAACATGGGTGAAGCAGTAACATGTTTTGGAGCCCTAAGAGAGCTGTGGTCCTGTAGAGCAATAATCTTTTCACCTGAAGAGCAATAATCCTGTAATAAGCACGGGCCAAAATGCAACACTGTAGAAACAGACTTTGGTCTAAGAATTGTGCGTATGTCTTTGATGAGTCCAGTTCTTAAAACATATTTCTAGGGCAGATTCACATCCATGATTAGATAGTGGGATCAAGTTTGGGTCCCCATTCTTAATCCTATGAGTAGACTGTGCTTTTAGTTAAAAAATCTAAAAATAGATAATAATGTCTTAACTAGTCAAGGAAAATGGGAAATAAGACATTTGAGCCTTTCAGAATATCTGAAAAGATGAAATGGACTGGGAACCTGGTATGGAGGCAAGGAGGCTGCATGACCGCACCCGTCGTTCTAAACACTGACGCCACGTGACGGGACCCCGCCTGCAGGGGGATTTCATCAGTCCTTATCAAGAAAAGATGATGGCCGGTGTTTCTGATTTCCTTTTAACTGTTTTTGAAATGAAAGAGAGGCTATTAAGACTGAAAGAAAGGAAAGTAAATCCTACCAGCCAGAGCCAGGAAAGCCTGCGATTGATTTTTTTGTGTAAACTTCCTGAGTTGTTTTTGTGAAACGGTCGTTCCTTATACACATCCTAAAGGTGCCTTGAGCGCCCAGTGGAGGTCAAGGTCAGAAGACATTTTGGGGCTCAGGGCTCTTCACCAGCCTTTTCTAGTTAAGGAATCTACGGGACATGTAGTCAGCATCTCTGATGGGAAGGGCAAGGAGCCACGGCCAGTCACTTCACCCACGTACCTGGAGCTCTGCCATGATTTTGTCTCCTTCTTCTTCTTCTTCCTCATCCTTTGAGGAGCAGGTCCAGGCTGAGGCAGGCTCCTCTGCTGGGCATTTTGTGGCTCTAGCCTGAGAGCTTGGTCCAGCATCTTCACTGCTAGCCTATGGATCCAAACCACAGATACTGGCTTAACCCCCCCAGGTGATGACAAACAGAGGGAGAGAGCACAAGAAGATGTCATGTTTCCTCACTGTCTAGTAAACTGGCTTCCTAGCTCTTCAGCTTCAGCTGAGGGGCTATTTTGCCCACTTGCACTGAGTTTCTGCTTTTGTTTATGCAAGCTACCATTTTGGTGAATGGACTGAAGAATTATAATACAACTGTAATTCCTCAACATTCAGTGCCTTTATGAAGGGACCTCCCATACTTTCTCTCCTTGAAACTTGAATTTCATGTTGAACATAAAAGACAAAAATGGCCAAGTTCAGTGCAAGCTAAAGCTCATTGAACATCTTTCTGTATGGACTCCACAACTGTGTTAGCTAATCTCAGTTATCTTTAAGGTGGTCTTTTTTATTTTGCTTCACTCTCTATCCTTATTTTCAATCCTACGATGACCTACTGGGGAAGTAGCTTGTGATTTGTATTTCACATAGTTGCAGCTAAAAGTCAAGTAAGGATAAAACTTGTGGTGCTGGGTCTAGTTTATTTGATTCTCTGCTTCTCTTCTCTGCCTCACTCCTTTTTATGTTCTAGTGAGAATAGAGATGACCTTGTCCAAGAGGATCATCCAAACCCAGAGACCCGTTTACCAGGGCTTAGCCCATCTGACCTTAGTGGTGGCGTTCTCCTTCCTGCTGGTGTAGACCACATCGCCGGACCTGGTGGTGGTGAGCCCTGATCCTGGCAGGTAGCTCCGTCTCGGGGGTGGGGGAGGAGGTGGTGGGGACTTACCCCCCAGCTTGTCCAAGTCCTGTTCTGAATTTGGAGAGTCTTCTGGAAAAAAGTGTGTCTTTGCATAATAATCTCTTTTCAAGATGATGCCCAGAAAGTCCACTATATTTCTATAAACTTAATACATTCTGACTTAAAAATTTCTCTATTCTCTCTATATTGCAAAAATTAATGGTATAACCCCCGCAGCCCAACTGGCTTGAAATCCCAGAAAGACTTTATACAAGTTACTTAACCTTTCTCTGCCTTGATTTCCTTATCCGTTAAATGACTGTTATAATGATATCCTCTCCACTGGGGTGCTGTGAGGATTAAGTGATTTGATATACATAAAGCACTTAGAACAGTGCCTACTGGCTTATTATAAATGCTATGCAAGTATTAGCTGTCATTATTAAACAAAAAGGCTGGATGTTACTTGGAGAGATGAAAGATCAGACATGGAGGCGAATCCAGAGCCCACTGCATGGCCTCTAAAGCCTTCACCCCCCTAGTTTAGTAGGCTGCCTCTGGCGGAAGGACTCAGACAGGAGTGGGTGAGAGTGGAACAGGGCCAAGGAAAGGGAAGGGAAACCAGGAAGCCAATGGGAACAGAGAACAAAATCAGGGGAAAAGTAGATTTTTGGGGTCACGGTTATGGGCTCAGAAAAGGCTTGCTGCTAAGGAAAGGAGACAGCAAACACAGTAAAGAGAATTATAAATTAGGATCGACATCATAGAGTAGGAGATTCAGATATCTTCTCAGCTTTCCTCAGAGAACTGCTTGGAAAATGGCAATTTTTAATCAAAACTCAAAGAGCCTCATTCCTGTCCTTGATCAGCCTTCCTCACTTCAGCCCTTTACAAACACTCTAGCCAACAGCTCCTGAAAGCCTGGCTTTCCCCAGCTCTCCTGAGGGACTGCAGTACTCGTCTTTTCTGAGACAGAGTTCTTTAGAGTAGATGCTTGAGGAGTTCCCATTGAAAGATGTGGTAACTTGGGTACGTCATCAGAGCGGCATGCTAGTGATAATTTGTAGTGGGCAGGTCCTGCCCACGCGTGAGGTGCTGGGTTACAGGACTCCAGCAGCCTCGGGTCATGTGGCTGGTGTCCATGCCAGCAGTCTGGGCTCAGGGTGGTCGTCTCCACTCTGGGTCCTTCTAGGGACTGGCACAGGCTGACCGGCCCAGTTCTCTCCTCTCAGGTATGAAGGCAGACTCCCTGTCTGACTAATGCATTCAAGCTGCTCTGAGCCCTCTTCTCCGCTAGGCCTTGACCTTAATGTGCTGAACTTGAGTTTCAGCAAAGAATCCAGGTTAGCAAGAATCCCCATTCTTGATATCTGACCAGTTCTTCACTTCCCACCCTTGATATCCAAGTCCTTGGCCTGCCTTTCACAGGAATCCCACTACCTTCCACAGGCTGCATTCAGAGCTGAGTTCAGTCTCTCTCTTCCTTTGCAACGGTCTTGAATAAAGTCTTCCTTGATGTTCTTTAACTGTGTCTTTGTGAATAACTTTTGCTTTACCATTGACTAAGGCCAAACTCCCACATTTTCCATTGATTTTGGGGGAGCTATCCATCCCCCCCATTACTTAAGTAGTCAGACAACACACACAAAAGGAAATACAAATACTCTTTTAAAACCCCAAGCTGCCCTGGCTGGCGTAGCTCAGTGGATTGAGCGCGGGCTGCAAAGCAAAGCATCGCAGGTTCGATTCCCAGTCAGGGCACATGCCTGGGTTGCAGGCCACGGCCCCCAGCAACCGCACATTGATGTTTCTCTCTTTCTCCCTCCCTTCCCTCTCTAAAAATAAATAAATAAAATCTTAAAAATATATATTAAAAAAAAAACAAAAACAAACAAAAAAACCCCAAGCTTGGAATTTTACCTCATTAGTGTACAAAAATAAAAACCATAACATCCATGATGAATAAATAAAAATAGTAGAAACAAAGCTTACAGATAATGGTGATGCCCTAACCCATTCTTGGTGGCCCAGACCTTAGTGGACTCTTTCGGATAAGAAACCAGGCCATGTGGTAAAAAAGAAAAGCGCAACAGTAAGAACATCTTAACTAAGTAAAAATGTGTTGGAAAGTAATTTAAAATATAATTTATGCAAATTTCTGAAATCTGAAAGAATAAAAGTTCCAAATGAGGTTAATAAAATATAGTCATTATTTTTTGTTGTACAATCAGGGGAAAGGACAATTATACTTTATTTATCATTATAAGTTTATAATTTATTTGTAATTCTAAAATATCAAAGGAGACTTTATGACAAAATAAATAGTGGGAGAGCTGCACTAAGGAAGACAGACATGCATCGGGGTAGGTCATTTCCTCCACTGGAAATTCTCCAAGGGAACTCGGGGAGAAAAGCTGTCGTTGTGAGAGTGGAGCTCCCCCGCCAGGGCTCGTTGCTCCCAGGTCTTGGGGCCTGACCCTCCAGGGGCCTAGACAGGCCTCACAAAGCTGGCAGTTAGTGCAGCAGGTGAAAAACACCTCTCAGCCCAGACTGAGGGGGAGAGTTTCAGTGACTGTAGCTGGAGAGAAGCTTTGTAGAACGAAAACCTGGAGGGCGTTACACTGGTTTTACTGTGGTTGTAAAGTGTATCCACCTTCATGTCCCTTGACATGCAACTCAGGATGGCAATTCCTTTTCAATTTTATTAATTTTTGTTGTTGGACAAGGCCTCATCGAACATGACTCTGAGATATACTGGGCGACACATGAAAAATGGTAATTTTTTTTTTTAGAGAGGGGACAGGAGGGAGAGAGGGAGAGAAGCATAGGTGTGAGAGAGAAATATTGATTGGCTGCCTTCAGTACACACCTCAACTGGGGACCGAACCTGCAACTCAGGTATGTGCCCTCACTGGGAATCAAAATGGTGACCTTTCAGTTTGCAGGCCGGTGTCCAATCAACTGAGCCACACTGGCTAGGAAAAATTTTAATATTAGAATAAGGCACATGGTTTGTGATTGGAGATTTAGGAGGCTACACTTTTTAAACAGTTATTTTATATTACTATTGACATATTGATGCTTAACTTCTATAACTTATTTTGTTAAATATACAATAATTTTGATTTTTTTAAAATGCCATTTTATTTTATGATCTACTATCCTCCTGGGAGCTCATAAAAGCTGGAATTTTCCTTCTGCAGCATATGAAAAGCTCTTGCTTTAATGCAGGCCTTGAATTTTCCCAGCTGGTGCTGTGAAGTGCCATAAATTTACAGGAAGTGCAGAAGCTGGGAAACCTGAATTTTTCCGTATTGGGCATTGTTCTAGTATCCGAACATACAACAGTCTCCCTGCTATAGTTATAGTAGTGAGGCTCTAGGGACTCCTGAGGGATTGCTCTCCCAGTTTTTCAATTTTATCAGATCCTGAAGAAGGGAGAGTTTAACCAACATGTGCTTAGGTTGGGGGCCACACATTGACCTGAGGGCAGCCAGGCACACGGCTGTCAGTGTCTTACCTGCAAGTTCCAGCTTGTCCGTGGAAGCATCGCCCTTCAGCTGCGGGCCTGAGGCTGGTGACATCTCCAGGTTTGGAATGGACTTCATGATATTGGCCTGAGCTTCTTCTAGGAGTTTCTCAAACTCTTTCCCATTATAGTGCTCCAGATTTTGTCTTTTCTCTTCCCACTTCTTCTCTGCTTTCTGAAGGGGAACAGCAGGTGAAGAAAATTTTTTAACACTAGAGTGAAAAGCTAATTAATTGTTTAGAGATTTCTAAACAATTAGAAATTGTTTAGAATTTGGGAGGAGGCGTAACAATTCAAGCGTAGGTAAAACAATGCTCTGGCTTCCGTGCCAGGGGAGACTGCACATCAGGCGAATCTGACCGCTGTGCTCTCTGCTCCATCTTCTAGAGCTAAAATGGGCTGCATGTAAGCTCGGGTGATACTCACAGAGAAGCAAGCTCAGAAACTCACGTTCGCTCATGAAATGATGACTGAGCACTTACTGCATATTTCTACCAACGGTAAATAAAAAAGATAATTATCTATAACCAAGTTTTTGAGTTTTCATTGCAGAGATGTTCAAGCAAACAAACACCAAAACACTCACTAGGAGCAAAGAATCCTTTGTCTTAGTGCACTTGTGGCCAAGGCTTGCTATATGGCCACGGGCCACGTTTTCTTCCTTAGAACAAGGGTGGGGGGGGGGTGGCGTTTAGATGACCTGGGAGCTCCATCAAGTTCTACAATAGGGAATATATAAGATGTATTCTTAAATATTTGTATATTTCTCTTAAGGGACATTTGACTGTAATTCTGAGATGGCACATGGATCATTCCAGGAGGGCAGAGTGGAAATTTGCACCAGGGTTAGTGGGACCCATAATGTTGACATAATGTCCCAGGTTGTCACTGACTGAATCAATGCATGGGAGCACTGGGCCCACCAAGGTGAAGGACTTGCTCAAGATTCACTATAAATCACAGTCCCCACCATCACCATCCTTTGTGTTTGCATTCCTATCATTTATCACCACCTGGCATACACTTGTTCGGTCTCTCCCTACAAGCAGGTAAGTTTCTCGAGGGCACCGACTTCATCTCCTCTGCTCACTGCCTACTCCAGAGCCTATGAGGGCCTCGTGCACAGTGGGGCCCCATGATGTGTATTGAGTGAATGTGCTCACCCCATTTGTCAGTGGCATAGCTGGCAAAGAGGCCCAGGCCTCTTACTGTGGGTTGGTCATTGTCAGAGCTAACTCATAACTTAAAATACACCCATAATAGTGATAATTGTGTCCAGTGGGTTCCCAGTAGATATTTGTTCCATGACAGTTGTCCCTCTGACATACTTTAAATATGGGGATGTTTGAAGTAACAAATTCATTCACTCTCAGGAGGAAATGTGTTTTCAGTTCTCTACTTCACCCAATATGCATGCCCTATGGGTCATTATATCAGCTAATGCACTTTGTAGGCGCCTACTTGAATCAGGGGCATAGCCCCTGACTTTGGAGCAGAGAGCAGCTACCTAGTGTTCAGAGATGCAGTTGCCATGACCATGACCTTAGCAGTTACAAGAGGTCATTTCCTGTTGAAACCCAGGTTATCCCTTGCACCAGGAGAGGCAGGAATGCTTAGGGCCAGGTTGCTTAAGATACAATAATAAGTGATGAAAAAAAATGGGGTGAGAGGAAGGAGAGCATGAAGGAAGCAAAGTGTGTTACTTGAGCACTAATGCCGGCTCTTGATTAAAAGAATATTTTTAAAAAATAGCATTTTTTCCTCGATATTTTGTGATCCGAAGGCTTTCTCTATTCATTTTGACTGCTTCTGCCTTTTCTTCTGAGACTACTGTAATAACTTCCCACCTATCTCCCTTAATTCCAGACCCAGCACCTCAATCAGTTCTGTATATAGTGTCCAGATTAATTTTCTGAAGATACCACTTTTTATCACTGGTTCAGGCCGCAGCATTCCTCTGATACCTACACAATCAACTCTAGACACCTCAGGCTGCTTTTCAAGCTCTCCCAAGTCAGGCTCTGGCCTGTTTTGCCAGCCTTATCTGCTCTTTCTCATTTGTGTTAAACAGGTTTGCTCACGGCTCCAGCCTTTGCTCCAGCATTCCTCTACCCTAGAATGCCCTCCCCAGCCTTCTCTGCTTACCCAGATTCTACTTATTTTTGAAGATCAGTGGCAAACCCTCCCCAGGCCTGCATTCACCAGGGGCATGCTTGGGCCAGCTCCCACAGGATTAGGAGAGCTGATTTGCATGTCTTCCCAACTGAATGTTCTATGATGCTGTGTTCCGATTCAAAATCAATGACGGTGGGAGTCTTCACATCACAGAAATTGGCAAATGCCACAATCAGGACGTTTCCCACCAGAGAGCTGGTTGTTAAACACTTACCATCATTCCACTGCCTCACCTTCCTCCTTGTTAGGCATTTTATGCTTCTCTGCAATCTGATAACCCTTCCCTTATCTTGGCCATTGAAACCCACTTACAGTTTTAAAAAATCTGTCTTTCGTTGATATGTTATTACATACATGCACATTTTTAAAATAAAAATATAACTCTGACACATATATGTCTTATCTCTATAGCCAAACTGTATAGTCTTTGAGGGAAAGGACCATGAGTTACCCTCCTTCATGAGGTTACAAAAGATGGAAAAAGGACTCTACCTCAATGGACACTGCCCTGTTCTTGGCACTGACACTGTGGATTTCCTCAATGAACAAGCTCTGCATGGCGGCACCATTCACGGGTGCTTGTGGGCATTGCGCTGCCTGTGCTGACTGCAGAGTGGAGCTCACTTCCTGTGTGATGGCTGGAGGGCTGGTTGGCTGAGGACCAGCCCCTCCAGGCGAGTGCTGGGCAGGGGTCAGCAAGGCAGAGGAGAGCTGGGAGGGCTGGATGAGCACTGGAGAGCTCTGTGCGCGGTGGACCGTCAAGGGTACCACATCGGCCTTCACGTCTCGAGGGACTGCTGTGCCCTGGGGGGGCTGGCCTGAGGCCTGTGGTGCCTCCTCCTGGCTCTTCAGGACCTCCGCGGCGGTGGCCTTTTCCATAGCGACATACTGTGCAGCCTGCGCTGAATCTGTGCCTCTCAAGAGCCCATCGGTGACGTGTCTAGGAGAAAGCACAGCAGAATTAACTACTGCAATGGGTAACTTCCATTTTGTATGGAAGTATGGTATTGAATGCAGTGCCATCCCAAAGCCAGGCAAGATTTTCTTGCAAAATTACAATATTCTAAAACTCAGAGGAGCAGCTCAGGGTTGAGGATTTCCATAGCGACTTTCCAATGCCACTGATTTACCCCCTGGTTATTTCCAGCAGCTGCTTTTTCAGTCATTTTCTCAGGAGATGGCCTGTTGTGCTCTGTCCACTAGCACTGGCATGCCCTGACACAATTCCATCACTGTCTGGGCCGGGGGAGGGGGGGCGGGGGGGATGGTAGCATGAAGTGATCACGTGATTCTAACATCTCCTCCACCCAGTCTCTCCCGGAGAGCTCTTTCTTGTACATGTTCAGTTCTAACTCCCAAAGCTTCCTAACATCCCACAGCCTGTTCCTTTCACTGCCAAACATCTTGGGAGGGCAGTTTATGTTCTAATTCCTTCCATTCGCTCTTCCTGTAGCTCAGCCTGGAGTGATCTGGCTTCTTCACCTGGCCTTGACCAAGCTTCTGCAATGGTAACAGTGACAGCAAATCAAGCAGCTGAGTTAGTCCTTATCCTCCTTTGTTCTTTGGGGTCATTTGATGCTATTTTACTTGTCCACCTCTACCCCTGGTGCAGTGAGAAAGACATGGCCTTTGGGCTCATATTGACCTGTATCTGAATATCAGTTCTACCATGTTCTACTGATACAATGGCAGGAATGGTACACTTTCCTATAGATTGAAATGACAATGATGATGGCAGCAATGTTGGCGATGCCTTCCTCAGCAGTGGTGGTTAGGATCAATGTAAAGTCATACATGTACGACAATGTGAAACATGGTACCTGACCTTAATTTTCAATCTGTCTCTCATTCCCCTCTTATTCAAATGCTCTCTTTTTGATTTGTAAAAAGACACTGTATTCTATGACTCTCTTCTGCTATTCACTTCTCTATTTCTTTTGCTGTTTACTTTTCCTACCCTGTCCCTTCTGTCCCCAAGGGCACCTAAGGATCTCTTCCTTCCTTCCCCTCTCAGTCTACCATGGCCATCTCTTCCATTTTTAATAATCATCTTCATGAAGGCAACTTCTGATTCCAAATCTCTCCTCCCTTCCTTCCTTCCGTCCCCCCGTCCCTCCCTCCCTCCATCCTAGTTAGGCAGGGACACCCCTCTGTCTCCATCTCTTGATCATTTCTAAGTCTCCACACTTCTAAGTGCCTAGTGGGCAGCTATGTTTGGTTATCATTCCAGCACCTCAAATTCAACACATGTCAAAACATTTCATCTTCCCGAGCTGCTAAGTTGCTCTCAACTGTGACTGTCACTTGCTTTATCTTCTTTGCCTATTCTTGGGGCGCCACGCATATTCCGTCTCCTTCACAATGTCTCCACAGTGCCAAGTACAGCACATTACACACAAGAGATACCAATATAAAATTAAAAGTATAAAGGCTGCTGATGGACAGCCTGATGGCAGCTGGAATTTCTTTTATTTTCATTTTAAAAGCTACTTACCTGGGCTTGTCATTCTGACCACTGAGCATTACGGGACAAAAAATCCTACAACATTCAAAACACTAATCACATCTATTTTTAGAACTTGCATTCCCTGGAGATAAGACAAACACTGAGCTTCATCACAGTGCTGGCTCTAAAACTTTCTTTTAATTGTTTTTCACAGAAGAGAAGGGAGAATGGGGCAGTGTTAGAATGGGGCAGTGTTATGTGCCAGCCTGCTATCTATTTCCACTGAACAAGGGTGGTTTGTTCTAGGCTTTGTGGATGGGTTACCACACTTAGGTAAGAGCTTAATGAAGAATTCCTCTAATAGATTTTTATCCTACTGGAAGAAAAGGTTCCCTCTGGCAACTTAAAATGAGAGAAGCTATGTGAAGATGTAATTCAGGCACAGTTCCTTCCTGTACCTAGTCAGGTGTGGTCTCTGCAGGAGGCCACTGTGGTGTTCGGAACCCCCGTGGCCTCCTGGGACTCCGGCAGGTGATGATATGTTTCCATCTCAAAAGAGGCTCTTTCCTGAGGTCAGTTACCAAAACAATCTCACTTGTTCCTTGGGCTATTAATTCATCTGAAAGTCAACTGCACATTTAATATATTTCTTTTATAAATTTGATCAAATGATTACACTTAGCTGTTAAAATTCTCCCAAGAAGCTGTCTTATATGTTACTTCTGTTTGTGACCTGCTCTCAAATCCGGTCTAGGAGCTGAAGGGTAACGTCTCTGCAGCTTCCCAGTTCTGTTAAAGAACTGAACACTCAAGGACTGCCACTGTTAGAAAACAGTTTATTTTGGTAGTTGTGTCTATTTCCCATGTGAGAGAGGAACCCTCTTTATTATCATATTCTCAACACTCAATACCAGGGCTGGAACAGGTAGAAAGTCCAAATATTACTGACTGCCTGGCTGTGAGATCAGAACTAACTCTGATCTCTGGAGTCAAACCACCAGTTCATACCCCGGCCTCACTTCTGACATGAAGTGAACTTCCTCAAAGCTCAGTTCTCCCTATACAACAGGATGACAATGCCTGCCTAGGGCTTTAAGTTAGGACTGAGTGAGATGACAGTGGCAGAGGGCTTAGCTCAGTGTCTCATCCGTAGAAAGTGCTCACAGACAGAAGCTATTGTTATGGTTGGGCTGAGAAGAAAGAGTTGTATTTGTCACCCAAAGACACAATAAATAATGGCATATGACACGGCATTTATAAAGTGCTTCTGGCTGCACAAATCCTGCACACATATATGTTATCACTTTTTATGTGGGTAGAGTTCAAGAACTTTCTTTTCAGTGAAAGTCATGGATGATTCAGTGATTTGTTTTATTTCAGTCTTTCTTCTACTGTGACCCTCTTTTATGGGCAGGTAAGAGTGATGCGGATTTCTTCCTCTTTTCTAGGTGGGATCAACAATCTCTCAGATACTCTTTCAGTAGGTAACTTAAGAAAGGCTCTACTTATTTCTCTTCATTTTCTTTGAACTGAAGCCAAATAATAGATTTTGATCCATTCTTCAACTTCAAAATGTTACTGAGAGGAACAACCTTCATATGATCTTTTAAAAACATTTACTATGTTTACTAGTAAATTTTAAGTGCTAGCATGTGCCAAATGCAGCAAGCCTGTGCTGAAGAATCAGGACCTCAAGTCCTGCGTACAACAGAAATTCCAGGTAGGAAGGAGCTGTGGCTTCTCCTCAGGGCACTGGAAATTAGATGTGATAAATCACAGAAATGGAGACAGGTCCCAGGAGACGGAGGAAGCCTGGGAGTCCAAACTGTGCACCCCCCATGTTCTCAGCACCCCCAACGTTCCCAGCAGCCCCCACCCACCCCCAGCTCTCCACGCCCCACAGGAAGCCCAGTCACCTCCGCAGCATGGTCAGGATGTCGGTCATGCTCCGCACTCTCTGCAGGAGACTGTCCAGCCGGTGCGGCTCCTCCTTCAGAAACCGCACTGCCTCCACCTCTATGCGCAGAATGGCTCGCATCTTGTTTTGTAAGGTAGGAAATTCTCCTGCGGCCAAGAGCAGGGGCTGAGTTGTAGGGAAAAAGTCAGAACAGCAAGCTCCCGTCCCACACCCAACACTGGATAGGGTACAGCGCACGGGGTTCATCAGCCACAGCGCCCTTTGCACATCTTCAGGTGGCAGAAGCATGCCAAGCAGAGATGGGTTAAAAATGACCGTGGGCAAGGGCAGGGCTCCTCTGGGCCACACTTCCTGTCTGTACATTTGGGATAAGGCCAACGGTCCCTTAGGGTTATCTTTAATGAATCTGGTGCATTGAAGACCCCAATGAGACACAGCTGTCATTATCATTTCATCCTAAATCTTATAGCACTCACAACAATGTAAGCTTTAAGAAGACAGGGACATTTGCCTGTTTTGTTCAGTGGTGGATCCTGTGTCCAAAGCAGTGCCTGGCCCATGTAGTTGTTTGATGAATACTTGCATACGTGAGTAAATGAATGAATGAATGAAGCCCTCACCATTTGACAGATTTTTAATAACCATGGGAAACGCTCTTAAGATTTCTCCCTCCAAGGAGGAAGCTCACCTTTCAGGGAAGCTACAGCTTCTCCCACTTGTCGCAGAAGGAAAGCCCCATCTTCCACATCTTTTAGAGTGACCACTCGGGCAGCCGATGCAGAGTCCTTCTTCAAGTCTTCAACAAGGTCTTCCAGCTCACTGGGGAAGCAAGCAGACCACAGATGGGCATCAGCACCAAGGGCCTCAGAAAGCGCAGGCACAGCAGCACAGGGCTCACTGGGGCCCCCACTGCGCACTGTGTCCCATCCAGCCCACCTCTCCTTCCACGCAGGTGGTGGGGACACCTTTTAGAGGAGTAGCCTACTCTGGCTTAAAATGATGTGCTGAGATGTCAGGCGAGTGCAAGTGACTTTGCCCAGGGCCTTGACAAAGGACCCACTCGTTATTTTTAGTGGCACTGCTGCCAGCTAAGGGAGGGATGTGTGTACTTCGTGATATGACGGGGGGGGGGGGGGGAGAAGGCTGTCATAGAGCAAAATGAGGAGCCGCAGATCAGGCTCCTCAAATTTGGCACTTGACGTTTGGACCAGATAACGCTCTGCAGCGGGGCCTATCCTGTGCACTGAAGATGTTTAGCAGCACCCCTGGTTTCTCCCTACTAGGTGCCAGTAGCTCTTTCTCCACCTTGTGATAAACAAGAATGTCTCCAGGCATTATTAAATGTCCCTGGGAGAAGGTGGCAAACTTGGCTCTGATCAAACCTCTGATTTATACCGACTGTCCCATCAATAAGGATTGACTTTCCTTCCCCAGCTACAAAGAGAAGAAATGACCACAGAACCAATTATACAAACATATACATGCACACACACACAGGTAGTCATATACACACACGCGCACACACACACCTTAGGGTTCTGCCAGCTCCTAAAGAATTAAGGTCTTTCACTTAAGAACAAACAATCCTGTCACTTGGTCACATTAATAACCCCACCCTAAACACACATTTGTATCATTTCAATTTGCCCATAACTCCAAAGGAAAAACTCCTAGGAAAGAATTAGGAAGAGAACTTTGAGAGACAAGAGCCACTAGATGGCAGTAAGTGACCAGAGAGTCTAATCCTGGGGTCCTGAGTCAGGAGTGGGCCACATCTGCAAAATGATGGCCTGCCCAGACCCTTCCTACCAGGTGGGCAAGTTCCGGAAGGCGTGACAGCTGTGAGAGGGAGTCAAGCAGGGTGTCGCATGGGTTCAACAAGGACCATGGGGCAAACAACAAATTCATCCACCTCCAAGAAGTGGGGTGAAGTTTTTGCTGATGTCTTTCGTTCCGTTATGCAAAATGGACCAAAATTGCCTATAATCCCTTCAGATATGAAATGAAGCAACTTCAGGACCAAAATGGAAAGCCAGCTTCTCACTGTCTACATCTGCAAACTGCGGAAAGACACCCAGTGTTATGTGAACCCAGTGGAATGTTCCTACAGCTCCCAAATCCCTGAGGCAGAGGGAATATGTGCCCGCTCTCAAAAGAGTTCTAAATGTGGGTGGAAAGTTTCTTCCATTTCATAACCAAACAGAATTATCTGAATGTGCAGACCAAACGCACTGTCCAATCCTTTTAAACTTTGATGGAAGAGCTAAGACCCAAATGTTATCATGGTTCCATTAACAATCCTCCAGCCTGCCAGGTTGCAATTAATACTCTAAGAAACTGTCACCTGACCTAAAGTCAGTCAGCCTAAAATTCTATTTTAACCTCTGCTACACCACATGACTCTTGGGTTTCATAACCTTGCACAGAGAAACCCTGTCACAATTTTCCCTCTGGGGATCATGGGACATACTCGAGTGTGCACTGATATTATCGTACACCAAAATGGAGCCGCCCTTCATATACCTCTATCATAGATGAAGCGGTCAGATAAAATTTGTTCACCCAAAATATAAAAAGAGGCCATGGAGTTAAAATATTTGCACTCGCTGCAAATACTTTTTTAAAATAGTAATCAGTATGATTTTTGAGATGTAAACCCCGGTCAGAAGCATGTCAGATGTTCACACATGCTGTGGTTTACAGGTAAATCCATTCTTGTGTTGAAGTTGCCTTTCCTTCTACCTTGGTTAAGAAGAAGTATTAATTTGCTGAAGTATATTTCATTTGACTGTTATAAGAAGCCCAATTATTATTTCCATGTAGAAACCCACCAAAGAGAAATGATCTTGATCCAATTTCTCTCCATAGTTTTAGAGCCAAATTTAGTTTTTCTGCCATCTGAATGGCTCACCAGCAACTTATGTTAACATGGCCCCCAAGGGAACGTATTTTCCTGTGTGTATGTAAGGAGGTGGGCATGTGTAAGGCATTTGTAAGGGGAGGAGAAGTGTGGGCAAGGGAGACAGAGGGGGAAGGGGGCATACAATTATTTTCCTAATGGTTCAGAGTTGAAATTTCCAGCTGTCTTTTGTAAGCTGTCCTTTCTCACCACCCTGATCCATCCAATCAGTCCCTTTTGCATTTGACTTATTTTCTCATTCTTGTTTCTACTGCTTGACTCAGGTCTTAATGGCTTTTGTCTGGGAGGTTAAAGTCGGTCCCGATATGATTTCTCAGACGCCAATTTCTTTCTCCCTCCCTCTGTCCTGCATGTGGTGGCCCAGGGGCTCTACTGTCTGAAATACAGCTCTGATCTGTTACTTCTTTGATCAAAAAAGCGTCAGTGACCTTATCAGGCCAGGCAGTAACTCTTAAGTGTGAAGGTGCTTCAAAGTCTCCCCTGTATCTTTGCAAAATATACATTCCTAAACTCCATCCAGAGAAATTCTGAATCTTGGGTTGGGCCCAGAAACTTTCATGAAAAGCCAGAAATCCAGTCATGTGATCTTCTAATCTCGGCACACAGAACAAACAGGCATCAAGCAGTCATGCTGGGCATGCGTATGGTCTCAGGGATGGGCAGGCACCATGCAAACAGAAACAGCACAACCCAGATACGACACATGATTGGTATTTTGCACCCACTCTCCCCCAAGTTGAACTACTCCAATTTTCCAAGGATATCCTCTGCCTTCCCGGTCCCAAGACTTGTTGGTTTGCAGGGATCCTCTACCTGGGAGGCCTCCTGTCTAGTCTCCACTACGAAATCCCACCTGTCTTCAACACCACTTCAGTTCAGTTTAGCAAGCCTGTATGAGGCCCTACTATGCCTATGGTACTGCGCTTGGCCTGGAGGCGTATGAAGAGTGACTTATTTCAGGTTAAGTCTCCCTGGTTCCTGGGGCTTGAGGCAACCCCTCCTTTGTATAGTTAAACTGGCACCTGTACACCACCTGTTTTGTGCCATATGCATACTCCTATGTTCTGCTTTGCCAGACTAAAGTTTCTCAAGTGCCCTGTGCACAACTCATTCATGTATGGCCATCCCGCAAAGCCACCAGTACAGCCCCCTCATGAAATGCGTGCCCTGCTCCCCCTCATATCTCATTCCCAGGCTGGTCTACTAGTATCAGGATAACATTGAGATCAAAGACACCTTTTTCAGTTGAGAAGCAAGAGTCATCTCAGCTAACCAATAAATACAATTTTTAAAATGAGGAAATTTACTTTTTCATAATTTAATTGGAAAATGTATAAAATATTATCAAAAGGCTATATATTTTAAAGATTTTATTTTTTATTTTATTTTTTAGACAGGGAAGGGAGGGATAAAGAGAGAGACAGAAACATCAATGTGGGGTTGCTGGGGGTCATGGCCTGCAGGTATGTACCCTGACTGGGAATCGAACCTGTGACACTTTGGTTCACAGCCCGAGCTCAATCCACTGAGCTATGCCAGCCAGGGCTTAAAAGGCTATATATTTTAAAAGACATCTTCAAGAAGAATCTTGAGATCTACTTTTTAAACATTTGTGTTATCACAAAAACATTTTAGACAAATAATAGCCTTATTGCCTCATGGTGAATGGTTATAAATGCAAGAACTACATAAAATATTTTGAGATGTTGATGAACGAAGGTCAGTTTTAAATTTTTGTAAAATAAGAACCCAAACTGATTTCTTTTTTCCCTAGACTGCTACTGAGCAGGACAAGCTGACTGTCACCAGACCCTCTGGGTTGGCATCTGGGATGTGTTGGTGGCAGCCCTGCCATCAAACAGGAGATGGAGCACAGCGTTTTCCACCAGGAGACTCGGTGACTTGGGGCATTTAGAAGCTGAAAAGAATTCAGAAGCTACTCTCTTACAATCCCTGTGGAAGGTTTAAGCTTTCCAAGCAACAAGAGAATCACCAACACTAGGAGGAACTGGCAAGTTACTATTCATTACAGTAAAAGGTGAAATAGTCCTATGATAAATCTCTGTTGCATAACAAAACATACATTAACATAAAAGATGCACTTGCCCTAGTGACTGGGGAGTAATAAAGCTCTGCTCATTTCAACAGAGGGACTTGATAGATGCTTTCAATAAGAACCTCATAGAATCTGGGAACATTAAAGGAAGCATCTTTCATTCTGGATCAGACATACTTTACATTTAAATTCTTCTTTTGTGATTTAACTACAGTTGTATAATAGGAAGATAATTTTAGCTCTGTCTTATTTTGACTATTAGTTTTAATTCCTTGAGATTAAATGAAGACTTCCCATTTGTCACTGGGTTTTGCCATTTGCTCCTTTTAAGTCTGTGTTGCTGAGCCCTGCAAAACAGTATGATGCTCCAACTTTTAAAGAGGCCAGCTCAATTACCTCAGTATTGCTGAATTTCTTGGGCCTGGACAGAGGGCTGCTAAGTGCCCAGGGACACCCAGACCCAGCAGAACTCTAACTTGCACATAGTAGGTGCTCCTTGAAGGGAGAGGGAGAGAACACTATCTAGGAAGGACCTCTCCCTTGGCAAAGACAAGTTTTCTTTTCTGGTGAAACAGCTCTACACACAAGTGACTGGCACTCACCACAACTTCTTGACGATCTTCTCCTCTTCGTGCAGGTATTTCTGTCTCTCTTGCTCCACCAGGACACGCTGACGTTGCACTGGATCCTCTAGTCTCTTCATTGTTTCAATCACTTTGCCACTGATTTCCAGCTCAGCCTTCTTCATCATTGCCCTCAGCAGCTCCTGGTTCTGCAGCTGTTGAACAAAGGAAATCAAGCTCAATTTGTTCTGCCTTACTGACACTGTGGTGAGTGCCTGCCAGTCTTCAGAGGCAGGTTAAAATAATCAGCCCGCAGCTGATTCTTTCTTTATTTCAATGAAAAAGGCAAGGACCAGAGGCTGTATATAGTATTACCTCTTCGGCCAACATCTGAATTTTAGCAGCCAACTGACAACCTGCTTTTCATGTCTGAGCCTGCAAAAACTAGGATCCTTTCTTTACTCTGGGCAATGCATCATGGACAATGGGCATAAACTCTCAATGACATGTTTTTATAGGGACCGGCCAAGAGCACCAGGTTTGGACCCAAGCAGATTTTGGATCAAACCCTAAACCCTCTCCCTCAATACTTGAGATTCTGGGCCTGTTACTTGGATGATCTTGGTCTCTGTTTCCTTATCTCTAAGGATGAAGATTCCCTTCCCTTGGCAAGACTATTCTGAGGATTAAAGGAGATACTGCTTAGTACAGAACAGGTAGTCAACAAATGTTGATCTGACTATGGACTATTTCAGGATATCAGTTAAAAGAGAACTGTGTGCCTCTTGTTTATATGGGTCCATGTGCCAAATACCTAGTCATCACAGACCATTAAAGCAGTGTTGATGTCAATGGTGGCAACGATAATGATTCCAGATGAACGCAAGGCTCTTGGCAATTTACTTCTTTCCCTAGATCATAAGCAGGCTGCTTGCATGCATAAGACCACAATTTCCATACAATTTTCCACATATTTTCTAGAGCACTCTTGTTTCTCAACCCAGAGAGTATAGGATGTCCAAGGGTGCATCCAGACTTCACAAAAATCTAGTTAAACACTTGAGTCCTATTTCCCAGATGTTGTTAAGTGTTTCCCTGGGGCAGGACATGCATATATATATATATGTTAACTGAATCCATTTAATCAGACTCAAAAGTAGTAATTATCTTATACCTAAAGTTCCCCTGAAATTTCAATTAGCTGTTATTGTTGCCCCTGTTTCTGATCCTGTGGACTGTTCTATGACTCATCAGAGTGATGGTGTCTTTGTCAACTGTCCATTATCTGCAAACTGAGGGAAACGCCATCTGACCATGTCACCACCTGCTTGAAACCTCCTGGCTTTGAGTGTCTCTGAATAAAGAAGAAGCATTCCAGCGTGAGCCATCGGCAGAGCCCCCATCCAGGTTCACCATCAGCACAGCACCCTGACCAACTGGCTACCCAGAGAGATGCTGCTTGGGTTCAACTTCTAGTTTTACCACCTAGTGGCAGTATGACTGTGGCCAAGTTATCAATCTCTCTGTGTCCATTTATTTAAAAAAGTAGCAATAGTTCATATTTCATAGGCTGGTAATGTAGAGTCAGTGAGGCAATACGGTGCCTACAGTAGTGGCTGGCACAACCCTAGCTCTCAGTATGTACCAGCTATTGTTACCAGGGAACATAACTCTGGGGCAGGGCTGGTGTTTTTTCTGGGAGGGAACCAGATAAGAATGTGCTACTCTTGGGTTACCTCCTCTATGACTCATGGTCATGCTCTCATACTTCTTTTTATTGTGGTCTTAAAAGTAGTCAGTATATTGCTGAAAGTCACCACATTTGGAGACAATGCACAGAGGGCGACTTCCTCCTGTGCTCCCTGCAGCTCTGCCCACAAGGAACAGGGCATGAAGGCCATTTCCAACATGCCAGCCTCCTCACACTGCAAGTGAGGCAAGCTCTCTGCTCCAGTCACACGAACATAATTTCATTTCTGATTGGCCAAGCTCCTTTCTGCCACAGGGACTTTGCACATGCTATCCCCACCACCCGGTTAACTTCTGTTCTCCATAGAGTCTCCAGGACCCAGTGCCTGGCACATATCAGGCATTCAATAAATACTAAGTGAATGCATAAATTGTGTTAAGCATCAATATCGGTAATAACAGGCAATAAAGATCTAAAAACTCTTTCCTAAGTGACAGAAATAGAGGGTGTCCCCTGGGCTCAGCTCTGACTGCAGTGGTCGTGAAATACACAACACTACCTACTATCCAATGGTATACTCAAATTCAGTGCCATGTGTCAAATCCCACCGAGCTATGTCCTTTGGGTCTGGGGAATAAATGGTAATGGGTATGTAAGGGGCAAATAAGTAGATGATTAACTGTGTCTAGAAGTGGCTGATGCCTGGGTCCACTCCCAAGAGATCCTGACTTAACTGGTCCGAGGTGCAGCCTAAGAAATGAGACTTTTTAAAACTCCTCAGATGATTCTTGATGTGCCACCAAGGCTGAGCAACGTGGTCTAAACAAAGGGGGCTTGAATAGGTAGTTGACGTCACTGTGCCGTGGGCTGTGTGGCGCAGTCCTCTGCACCTCTTGCCTAAACCTCACAGACAAGCTCCAGTAAAGTTATGGTCCAGTTAGCACTGAGTAGATAGTAGCAGTGGCTGTCAAGCTGGAAATTACTGAAAGGCTATTTAAAATTCTTAAATCTGGAGTTTGAAAGATGGATAAAGTGAAGCCTAAGGAGGTGAAATGACTTATTCAGAGTTGCTTGGGCAGCTGCAGGACAGAATCAGGATGGGAACTGGGTCTTTTGAATTCACCCCAGTAACCTCTCAACCACCATCTGCTAGGTAGAGAGCACCGGCAGCATGGCAGGGGGCATGTCTGCTATGTTCCAAGGCACAAGCACAGTTTCTGGCACACAGTAGGTACGCAGCACATATTTGCTCTATGAATGACTCTCAAAATGATGTTTCTGAGAAGCCTGCAGACGTATAAGAATGCAAATGCATGTAATATTCAAATTATTCAACTGATAATGAGACAGGATAGTAAGAAGCTGTTGCCTGGCAAGGGAAATAGGGAAACTGAGTCAGGTAGCTGAATGCAATAGCTGGGCAACTTACAGCCAGGTGCAGCTGGTCACCAGGGCAGAAGGCCCCTAGTGCCTGGCAGGGGGCAAGACTGGGAAAACAAAGACCTCACCCCTAGGGTAACCTTTCCACCCCTGGCCTTTCCTCCCTGGAGATAACATCTAGGCCTCAGTTGTATTTCAGCTCCAGGCCCAGAAAAGCAGCAAAACCAGGTGCGTGATGCCTGCATGAACTAGAAAGACTAAATGACCCCTTCCCTGACACTGACCAATCAGGGGAGACCACCACCCTAAAAGGGCACACCTGGAGAACCAATGAATATTCTACTGAAACCCTCCCTGGAGACCTCTGCCAAGATTCCCACCTGCAAAAAAGAGATAAAAGCCTCAAGACAAAGGACTCAGTGTGCACTGTCCCTCTGGAGAGCAGCCTGTGCCATTCATTCCCTTTCCTTCCTCCCCAACTTCTTTCCCCACAGGCACGAGTCTCCTGAACTCAAAGGCAATGAGCAGCTGGCAGCTCATCCCAGGCCAATCCCCTGAATCTGTCCCCAAGGCCCCCTTTTCTCTGTCTGCCCAGTGAGCTTAGTTATCCCAGCCTATGCTTGATGCTAAGCCCTTCCCTGTTTCACTGCCCCAGCTTTACTAAATGGATCCTCACTGTCACCTGGACTCATGCTGTGAAATCTTTCCTGCACGAAGTCGAGAACCCACACACACACTACAGATTGGCCTTAGGCAGACCCACTCAGGGCCGGGCCCCTGTCTGGTAATAGTAACATGGTCAGATCATATTCACATTATTCCACTCAAAAAGGAGGGGAAGGAGAGACCCCACTGGAGTTTCAGGCTGCATAACCATTCTTCCCAGAGAGAGGGGCTTATGGAATTTTCTTGACCGCTGGCTGGCACGAGGGCAACACTGAGTTAATCATGAAGGAACAAATGTGCACAGGTGGTCTTTCCACTCTCCTCTAGTTCTGCCCCACCCCTGCCCTGCCTTTTGTTCTCGCCTTTGTCTCCAGGACTTCATCCCAGCAGCGTGTGATAAGGTGCTGAAGGCAGCATGTGGCTCAGCACCCCTCTCTAAATGCTTCACATAAATTAGTCATCAGCACTTCCAGTCATTATGTTTATTTTGGCTTAGCAGAGATGTTTGCAAACAATAAAATACAGATGCTCATAAGGACATGGACAATAGGGTGGGGAATGACTGGTGGAGTGGGGGCTGGGTGGAGGAGGGTAAAGGGGTTAAAATTAGGACAACTGTTACAGAATAATAGTAAAATATTAAATTAAAAAATACAGATGCTCCTCAATTTACCAACAGGATGAGGTCCCCATAAACCCATCATAAACTGGAATTATCATAAATTGAAAATGCATTTAATACACCTAGCCTATTGAACATTGTAGCTTAGCCTAGCTTACCTTAAAGCTGCTTAGAACGCTTACACTAGCCCACGGTGGGGACGCAGTGATTTTGTTGCAGAGAATCAGTTCACCTTCATGATCACGTGGCTGACTAGACACTGCCTGGCATCAAGAGAGAGGACAGGGCTGCATATTGCTAGCTCGGAAAAGATCAAAATTCAAAATCTGAAGTACAGTTTCTACTGAATTTGTATCGCTTGCACACCATTCTAAATCGAACCATTCCAAGTGGAGGAACCTCTGTACAGCTATTTAAAGTGCACAAGTCAGTGAGTTTTGACAAATGTATATACCAAAGTAATCACCATTAAAAAGAGATAATATTTTTTATTACCCTAAAAAATTCCTTTATGATTTTACAATCAATCCCTGAAGCCCCAGCCCAAGAAACAACTTCTGTCCCTGCAGATTTAGTTCTTCCTGTTCTACAATGTCACAGAAATGGAATTATGCAATATGTAATTGTTTGAGTCTGCCTTCTTTCAGTAAGTATGTTGTTTCTGAGATTCAGCCATGTTGGTTTAGTAGTTTTTCTTTTTAATGCAGAGTGATATTTCATTGTATGGATAGATCCACTGCATGATTTTGTACATTGTATGTGCTAAACTTTTTATATTTTTTACTTATTGATTTGATTCTGGTGACTTTACTGAAATTTGCTTATTTTTGGTAGCATTATAGAAATAGATTCTATTT